CTAAGTTGAGGAGGAAAAGGGATTTATAATCAAACCATCTATCTATTCCTTACGTAAACTTTCAAAGAATACTCCCCCCCCTTTTTAAAAATATTTTATTTATTTATTTGACAGACAGAGATCACAATTAGGCAGAGAGGCAGGCAGAGAGAGAGAAAGGGAAGCAGGCTCCCTGCTGAGCAGAGAGCTCGACGGGGCTCGATCCCAGGACCCTGGGATCATGACCTGAGCCAAAGGCAGAGGCTTTAACCCACTGAGCCACCCAAAGAATACTCCCCTTTTTAAGCTCTTTTCCTTACTCTTACTTTCAGAATGACCCAAATGCCTCCAAATACTGAGGGTTTCCATGTATAGCTGAAAATGATCTCCTCTGTGATAGAGTCACTCTCTGTAGGTACTTAAATTTCAGCTCTGTCTGCTTTGCTGTCATTCTAACCATCTACCAGTTTTCTAGTATCTAACAATCTGTTGCTGTCTCTTGCCTGCTATTGTCTCTGCTATAGTCTCTTTGTGTCTTTTTTTTACATTTCTTGCTTTCTTTTTTTTTTCTTTTTTAAAGATTTATTTATTTATTTATTTATTTGACACAAGAGACACAGTGAGAGAGGGAACCCAAGCAGGGGGAGTGGGAGAGGGAGAAGCAGGTTTCCCGCTGAGCAGGGAGTCCGATGCAGGGCTCGATCCCAGGACTCTGGGATCATGACCTGAGCCGAAGGAAGATGCTTAATGACTAAGCCACCCAGGTGCCCATTTTTACATTTATTTCTTAACTATTGTTTTAATTAGATTCAGGAGGGAGTAGGGATAAACACCTTTATTCATTCAACATTGTTTATACACTACTTGCAATGCCCTCGGAATTATTATAGGCCTTGGGGATATAACAGTAATAGAGAAGTACAGAAAACAAAAACAAAGAATATCCCTTTTCTCAGGAGCTAGCATTCTTATTAAGGACAACAGATACACAGGTTTAAAAAAATACAGGTATTCCTTACCAACTGAACTTTCATTCTCTGAATTTAAGAAACAAATAGATTAAGAAACATTTTTAGAAAGTCCTTTGTTATCTTTTTTTTTTTTTTAAAGATTTTATTTATTTATTTGACAGAGAGAGATCACAAGTAGACAGAGAGGCAGGCAGAGAGAGGGAGGGAAGCAGGCTCCCTGCTGAGCAGAGAGCCCGATGTGGGACTCGATCCCAGGACCCTGAGATCATGACCTGAGCCGAAGGCAGCGGCTTAACCCACTGAGCCACCCAGGCGCCCCAGTCCTTTGTTATCTTAACTTCTGCTACTTTCTATCTGAAACTCAGGAACCAAGTAGATCAGAATAATAGATATCCCTTAATATTTCAATTCATTATTAGAATTAGGAACTTAATAGATTTAGATAACCAGGGATACCTGTATATAAGATTTGGTAGTGATGAGAGCACTAGAGAAAAAAAAGCCACAAGAACTGGGAGTGGGCAGGAAGCCCAGGAAGGCCTCTCTAATGATAATAACCATGTGGCTTCCTAAAAAAAGACAAGGTCATTTCATATGCAGGTAAAAGTTAGTGCAAGGATTCTAAGCTAGGAGTATGCTGTGGAACAGCGGGGAAACAATGTGGCTGGAGTGGACTGAATAAGTAGAAAGGTAGTAGGGAATGACAGCAGACAGGAACCAGGAGTCAGATCACGTAGGATTTGTGGACTATGACAGAAGCTTGCTTTCTTCTTCTTCTTCTTTTTTTTTTAAGATTCTTATTTATTTATTTGAGAGAGAAAGAGCGAGCATGAGCAAGGGGGAGTAGCAGGCAGAAGGAGAAGCTGACTCCCGGCTCAGCAGGGAGCCCAACACTGGGCTCCATGCCAGGACTCTGAGATCAGGACCTGAGCCAAAGGCAGAGGCTTAACCAACTGAGCCACCCAGGCACCCAGAGGTTTGTTTTATTCTGAATGAGATGAATGAAATGGGAAACCAGGCTTTTGAAGGTTGTGTTTTAAAAACCTCACTCTGGGGTGCCCGAGTGGCTTAGTGGGTTAAGCTTCTGCCTTTGGCTCGGGTCATGATCTCGGGGTCCTGGGATCGAGTCCCACATCGGGCTCTCTGCTCAGCGGGGAGCCTGCTTCCCCCTCTCTCTCTGCCTGCCTCTCTGCCTACTTGTGATCTCTCTTTGTCAAATAAATAAATAATAATTAAAAAAATCTTTAGAAACCTCACTCTGGCTGCTAGGTATAGAACAGACTACAGAAGGGGAGGCAGACTGGAAAAGGTGAGATTAGTTAAGAGGCTACTATAATCATTCAGGTGAGAGATTAGCAGCTTGACTAATTCTTTCTGGTGCAAATGGTAAAAAGAATCTGACTAGATTCTCAAATTACTTTGAAAGTATAGCTGACATGCTTTGCAGATATGGAAGGTGGGGAAAAAAAACCAATCAAGTATGATTCTAAAGTCTGGGGCCTGAGCAAGCAGAAAATTGGAGCTACCACTTTTTGAGATAGAGAAACCTGGGAGAAGAACAGATAAAGCAGTTTGGTGGGATGGGGAAACAAATATTTGGTTTTCATAAACATAAGTTTGAAATACATAGTGGATGTCCAAGTGGAGATGTAGAAGGGGCAAGGAGATATATAAGGGTGGATGATAATGGAAAGATCTGGCCTAGAGATATAAAATTGGGACTGGTCACCATACAGACAATATATAAAGCTAGGTGACTACAAGATATTACTTAGGGAATAAAGGTAGAGAAAAAAGATGTTTGAATAAAACTCTGGATAACTCCATAACTAACTGGTCAGGAATGTGAGAAAGGAGTCATGCAGAAGAATCAAGAGAAAATGGGGTTTTAGAAGTTCAGAAAATGTTTCAAGATGGAAAGAGCGACCAAATGTTATCCTGCTGCTTTAAGCTGAGCAGGAAGAGATGTGAGAACTGGACTTTGCTAAGATGGAATTACTGGATACAGTGGAGTGACTGGGGCAAAAGCCTAGCAAACATGAGTTTAAGGCAAAATGGAAGGAGAAGTAGAAAGAGTGAGAACAGACAAGTCTTTCAAAGAGTATTTCTTTAAAGAGAAGTAAAGTAAAGTAAAGCTAGAGGGGAATGTGAAATTATCTGAGTTTTTGTTTTTAGACTGAGAGATAGATTTTTATCTGGTAGAAATGGAGTAAAGGAAATATTTGATGGTACATGATTAAGGAGAAAGAAGGGATAACTACAGAAATAAAGTCCTAAAGGCAGGGAAGGATAAGATAAAACACCCATGAGTAGTTTTTCCTATTTTTCCAATTACCTGGGAAGAAGGGCAATAGGATCCACTGCATTGAGAAAGAGAATTTTGGTAACAAAAGTATATAAATAAAGATTTAATCAGAACTACAAGTTTATGTGAATTCTTCATCAGGATAGTAAAGACTTACACCCTCCAAAGTTCTCTGCTTCTTAATTAGCCTTTACTGGAAAAGATTTATGACATATTTTGATTCCTAAAAAATTCTTCACTTATAATAATGTAACTAATTTCAGAACCACAAATATAAACACAAGACTCCTTAATCCTCATGATTCTCCCTTTGTATCATTTAGAAATGAAATAAAGTAAAATAAATGGCTTAATATGTATTTAAATATGTTTTCTTTTGCATCTTCTAAATATTTACACTCTTTTTTTCATACTTCTCTCATGTCCTATTACTAGCAGAAATGTTTATCACTAAGACCCTTTTTTTTTTTTTTTAATTTATTTGACAGAGATCACAGGTAGGCAGAGAGGCAGGCAGAGAGAGAGGAAGGAAAGCAGGCTCCTTGCTGAGCAGAGAGCCCAATGCGGGGCTCGATCCCAGGACCCTGGGATCATGACCTGAGCCGAAAGCAGAGGCTTTAACCCAATGAGCCACCCAGGTGCCCCCATCACTAAGACTCTTAATATAAATCAGCATGGACCTAATTTTAGAAAAAACATCCCAGACTATTTTTATCGATGAATGGAAACACTAGCCTTAAGTAGTCATTTTCATTCATATCCAATTTTAAATACAATATGGAAGAGAAGGATGCCTTTCAGTCTCTAGTATTTCCTTTATCCTGAATTTACACTGACTTTTTAGTCTTTACGGGCTTCTTACAGAAATTTAAAAAAAAAAAAAAAATCAAAGCTAATGCACCCAGATGATCTAAGTAAACATAGTAACAACTTCCAACAAACAACTCTATATACTCAGAAAAACCCAGGCATGTTGTAACAAAAGCAACAGAAGGAATGGTAGACAATTATAATTGCTTCACAGAGTAGACAGTTATAATTGCTCAGAATAATACCAGATACTAAATAGACTTGAATTCTAGACTACCTGAATTAACAGGTGAAGAATGGAAAGAAAGTTGTCTTTCTAAACAAATAAGAGAATTTTGTACTGCTTTTTCTTTATGAGTTTTCAGGATACTAGTGTAATATTCACTTTCAATTTCTAATGTCTTCTCACTTAGCATCATCCATTCATTGCTTCACGGTGCCTTTATCATACCCCAAATCCACTAAATTTGGGTGAAACTTAAGATAATTGCCAAGTTATAACCATGAGAGAAAAAAGGAGGGAGGGAACACTTAATAACCACCATCTTAATTAAAACAATTTAAAAAACCATAAGGGAACAATGATATTAATGAATAGTATTATCCACATATGTTAATCAGTGACTACGTTCTAAGCTTCTGAAATTCTAGGGGTATGCTTCTCCAGAAAAGTCTAGGAAATGAGTTTGAATTTTTAATTGCATTATAACTTCAATGAACTTCAATTCTCAAGCAGAAATGACAAGGGCCCTAGTTACTCCTGAGAGAAGAGTGGAATAATTTTAACTGCACTCCCATTTTTAGCTTAATAGGATTAATAAAAAGTGCTCATCCAAAAAATGCCATTATTTGTTTTATAATAACAATACTTAACAATAGTTAACTAACAGGTCACATTTTTGTAATTTATTGATTATTAGGCCAAAACGGCTTACCTGGTACAAAATACTCTGTTTGCATAAACCAGTGAAATTCCAAATGAAATCCCAAGTGTATGGCCTTAAACGTGACAAGGAAAATCAAATAAAGAACGGACACTGTGCCTGTGAGAGAAAATTCAGAAATCATTTATCATCTTTGTGTGTTTTACAGATTATTAATTTTTTTTAAAGATTTTATTTATTTATTTGACAGAGAGAGATCACAAGTAGACAGAGAGGCAGGCAGAGAGAGAGAGAGAGAGAGAGAGAGAGAGGAGGAAGCAGGCTTCTTGCTGAGCAGAGAGCCCGATGTGGGACTCGATCCCAGGACCCTGAGATCATGACCTGAGCCGAAGGCAGCGGCTTAACCCACTGAGCCACCCAGGTGCCCATTTACAGATTATTTTAAAGTTAAGCTTTGTTTCTAAATTTCAGCGAAGTGTGGAAAATTATTACTCTCATTGATTATTCCTACTAAAACCCAGATGGGATCTAAAGAAAAGAAAGAAGCTACATGAGTTTTCAGAAAGCAAAAAACTCTATGTAGTAGGCCTAAGAACTAAATGAAGGTAGCTCATATATTGAAGAATGCAAAACTGCTTAATTTATTTAAGAGCTGAGTTAAGTGGAAGATACATGCAAAAAATTTCATTACAAAATTTTAAGATTACACAGGAGGAAAGAAGCAACATGAAACTGACTCTTATTCTTTGTATTGGAAATATTAGAGATGGTCAAAATGCTGGAAAAGTCTGTCAAAGCATTTACTATAAGATGGTAAGAAAGTAAAGAAAGAAAAGAAAGAAAAGAAAATTAAGAAAGAAGAGAAAGAAAAGATGTGGCTCATAAGACTATTTGAGAAAGGTGATAAACCAAATAATCCATGAATAATCTGAACTAGTACCTAGAGAACTGTTTGACTGGGTAGTACTACCTGCTAGATGATAAGATTACAGATTCCATTCATAGCTATTCATACACAGGGTGAAGTGGGTATTCAGAGTTTTTAGTAATCTAGAAGTTAGAGAGTTTTCCTTTTAAGGAATTAAGTCCAGTCATTATGGAGTAGAGTCAGGAGATTCAAGTGGGTTTCTTTCTATAGGAATTACATACTAATTTCTGTAAAGAGGCTATAGTTTTAAAACAAAGGGCAAGTACAAAAAAAAAAAAAGACAAAAGCAAAATATTCTTCAGGAGGTAGAGAATAATCAACCTGGTTACAAGTCTAGTGATTGTTTTAGCAAATACTTTCCCCAGTTTATATGCTAACGTTAAAAGATCTGTTCCATAGGAAAGTCGGCAAGCAAATCAGGAAACCACCAATGAGCTATATAAGCTTTACTGTGGGTTTGCAGAATAGCTGATACAGAAACTTTAAAAAAAAAGAGGCCAAAGCTTATATCCCAATGCTTGATTTTCTGTGTATGTCTGTGGCAGTCTTGCAGAGAATCCTATTGTGAGGCAGAGAGGTATAAAGAAACTTACCTCCCCCTTTGGTTTTCTGAAAACCCCAAAAGCTAACTCCTTGATGTGATGAACAATCTAATTATTTTATACTCTACACTGCCTACCAGGAGATCAGATCTATAGGGAGGAGGTGAAACCCTATGGATTATTTGGGGTTATCAATTTTTTATGAATATTATCCTTATCTTTAGTTAACCAGATCTAAGTTTTCATTGGGGATTACTTTTGTCATCTTAAAGTTCAGTATTGCAAATGAAGATGGGATAAAAAACATTTCTTTAATGATGCAAAAACTTGTGAAATTTCTTCAGTGATTTTGGAAATTTCTGAAAAACTGGACTCATGGTAAGAAGTCTGTACTTTTAAGGAGGCAACAGTGTTCCAGTAAAGAAAAAGCAATGAGGAGGACAGCAAAAGCAGAATAAACCTCATTAGTGTGAGTTAGAGAATGATATTCCAGGTTGAAAGCTAGGTGATAATTCTGTGCTATACTCTTACGTAGAAACTGTAGGAAATTCTTATGTTTCCAATCCTTAGTAGTGAGAATCCCTGTATTATCCAGTTTGGATCTGTCCTCCCGAAATCTTAATCTGTTTCCTCTAGTTGTACCCACCAAGGAAATGAGGAACAGTGGTTCAGTCAGGCTAGAATGGGACAACTAATAATTCATCTTTTAAAAAAAAAGAACCTGGACTTGAAATGGTCATCTACATTTTTCTCTGTGTCAAACTCCAAAAGAAAACCACAAAGCAGGGTAACATATAAGTGAACAAATTAAACATAGGTGAATAGGCCTGGTAGGTAACTCTCCCCAGCCAGATCATACTTCCACAGAATCCAGTGTGAACTCTATTACACAGAAGCTCCATAACACAGTGTCTCAGCTTACCTAGGATATTAAATTTTGAAAAAAATGAAGGAGATTTGAAATTGAGCAGTGGCAGGAGGAGTCCTATGAGGTAAAAGGGCACTGTCTTGGACTTATTCCACCATTTTTCAAACTGTTCGAGTCCTGTGTCATTGGCATAGAAAATCATAGAGCCATTGTTGGGATGGTCGCCACTCCCAGCACTTGGACAAATCACTGCAATAGAATAGCATCAGGTTAGAGAAGACCATGAAGAATACAAAATGGCTACCCCAGAGACTGACACTTGCTCTACCAACCTCAACTTGTATCATGAATAAGTTTCTGCTTTCTGGAAAAAAAATAGAGGGTTATATTTGAACACATTAGGAAACTTTTACTAACAAATAATTAAAGGTGGGAGAATCTTAGAAAATTCTGAGGTATATCCTTAATTTCTATGAGAAGCTACAAAATTATCCTACCAACTATCTTTTGGTTCCATTGCCAGAGAGAAAATACTGAACCGAACGGTATTTGATCTTATTTATACAATAATGTAAGAAATATTCAGGGTGACTGTTTGCTACCTTTGTGCTAATAACCCACACAAAGTCCAAAGAACAGGTTTGTTTGTTTCCTTCTTTCTTTTTAGAGGGGGGAGGGGCAAAAGGAGAGGGGGAAAAAGACAATCTCAAGTGGGTTCCACACCCAGTGCAGAGTCCAACATGGGACTCAATCTCACAACCCCGAGATTATGACCTGAGTCAAAGTCAACAGTCAGATGCACAACTGACTGAGACACCCACCCGCCTCAGAACAGATTTCCTTAACAATAAACAAAATCAATGAGTTTGGAATAAAAAGTGGACATCATTGAAATAGATGACATGTTAGTGCCAAAACCTAACTTGCTTATAGCTTATGAATCTTGAATTCCAGCAATATGGAATAATTCTCGTGTGAGTTTATCACATTTTATAACAGCCTAATAGCTTAGATGATAGCCAGAGAACTGCTGAGTAAAATACATTTTTCCTAACGCTGATCTTGAAGTGGCTGGCAATTTCTTCTGTTAGGAGAGATGATAAAAATCATTCCGTGTTTCTAATTTCATAATACTACTTTCCTTAATAATCAGCACTTTAAAAAAACAACTCTTAATGCTGGTGAAAAATGCCCCTAATAAGTAACAAGCATTCTCATCATTAGCTAAAGAGAAAATGATATATTCATTTTAAGTTCTGTTTTTAATTTTATTCTCTATCCATTATATATTTGGCATGCCACAAAGGCAAACACTTACTTTTCTTGCTTAGTCTGCATTTTAACATGTATTTTTTTTTTTTTTTTCTATGTCTGGACAGAAGTAAATTAACTTGAAATTTTTTTATGCTAGTAATTACTGTGGTAAACAGCACAGGCTATGGAACTAAATTGACTAAATAATGAATCTTGACTCTCTCACTTAGTAGTTGTGTAACTTTGGGCAAGTCATTAACTTCTCTATGCTTTGGTTTTTCCATCTAGGAAGTGAAGTTAACATAATCTACCTTACAGAAGTGCTATAAAACATTTAGGATAATGCCCACACACAATAAGTATCCAATAAAGGTCAACTATAATTTTACATTAACTGAAATGGATTGTTTCATAGTATTTAACACATCATTCAAAGAGAAGAATGCAAAGTAAACTGACTTTGCTGATGGTACTCTCCAAATCATCAGTGTAATGGGGAACCTTATGAACATATTTTAAAGTCATACCAAAATATGTTAGTGTTTAAGTATTCAAAAGTGTGTGTGTGTGTATGTGTGTCTGTCTGTCTGTCCACAGAAATGCTGGTACTGCACCCACTGATTTGCTAGTGTAATAAAACACAGGTTAATGAGTTTAATTAAGGAACAAAGACACTGAACAGTAAACACTGAAACATTTGCTTTAAGAGAGGAGAGAACTTCCAACTGTTCATTATATCCTCAGAGCCTAGAATAGTTCCTGACACATAATAAGCTTAATAAATATATGTTGAGGGGTGCCTGGGTGGCAGAGCTGGTTGAGCTGTTGACTCCTGGTTTCGGAGGAGATTATGTTCTCAGGGTGGTGGGATGAGAGCCCCTCATCGGGCTTGTGCTCAACATAGAGTCTGCTTAAGACTCTCTGCCCTTCTCCCTGGCAGTCTGCTCTTCTCTCTTAAATAAATAAATACATCTTAAAACAAAACAAAACAAAATATATATATATAGAATGAATTTTCTTCTCATTGATCAATGTGTTCCTCTATCGGAATGATATCAATTTAGTATCTCTGAAATCTAAATATATAAATCTAACATAAAGATATATTAGAAATCCTAACATAGAGATAAATTAGCATTTCTGAAATCTAATACTCTGAAATCTAAATCATTACTACATAAAGCTTTGGGCGATGTTAAAGATTAACGGTAAAACTGTTAAGAAGGTTACATTAGCTTTTACCTTTTTTTTTTTTTTTTAAAGGTTTTACCTATTTATTTGAGAAAGAGAGAACAGGTGAGAGGGAGAGGCAAAGGGAGAAGCAGACGCCCCACTGAGCAGGGAGCCCTACTTGGGGTTCTATCACAGGACCCTCAAATCATGAGTTTATCACATTTTATAACAGCCTAATAGCTTAGATGATAGCCAGAGAAGCGTCTGAGCCAAAGGCAGACGCTTAACTGACTGAGCCACCCAGGCACCCCTACATTAGCTTTTAACATTCACTTTCCTCATGACTGCCACAGTAGATAAATCCACAAACCACAAAGATTTATTCTTAACAAATTAATTAAAGGAAACATTTCTAAGAAATCAAGATTTTTTTTTTTAAAGTCATGCCTTCAGTTTATTTGTCTGTATTTACTAACCTTTGTTCATTATTAGGAAATTATTTTCCAGGATACAGACTTGTGTATCTTAAGCATTAGTAAATAATACAGCAAATGTCTAAAAAAGTTAACAACCTGAGAACTATGCTTCTAGACTTCCAAAATTAGCAAAGATACAAGCTCTTGGGGCGCCTGGGTGGCTCAGTGGGTTAAAGCCTCTGCCTTCGGCTCAGGTCATGATCTCAGGGTCCTGGGATCGAGCCCCACATCGGGCTCTCTGCTGAGCAGGGAGCCTGTTTCCTCCTCTCTCTCTCTCTGCCTGCCTCTCTGCCTGCTTGTGATCTCTCTCTGTGTGTCAAATAAATAAAATCTTTAAAAAAAAAAAAAAGATACAAGCTCTTAAAAATATGTATTGACTATTTATAGACAAACATGGATTCTATAGATGTGAGCTACCATTGTGAACTGTGTAATACAAACTCAATCTTGTTTAGCTCACATTAATACAACCTTTCATGGAGTTTCTTTTTTTGAAACACATTGGTTGCCATCAATTTATTACTGGCTCAGTTAATACAATGGTAATGATGTTCACTAATTATTTATCTAAAATAAAGCAATATGTTCCACCTTAAATTCCTTCTGAAGCAAAGTGGAAAATAAAAAAAACAAGCTAAACTTTAAATTTCAAACTACTTACCAGGGTTGCTATCGTTGGTACTCAGTACAGCATCCGTGTCATTAATGTGATGAATAAAATCTAAAAATTACAGAAAAAAACAAAGTTTAATATCAAATGAAAGATGCTAAATCAATCACCCCCTAAAATCGATGATCTACAAAAATCTTTTAGATTTACTGTGTGGTAGTATTACGTAGAACACTGAACCAAGCCTGCTTCATTTTTTTTTTTTTTTTTTTTTGCCTGCTTCATTATTAACACAGCTTAACCACTCTCAGCTTTCTTCTCTACTTACAGGAATGATGTCATGGGCTTCAGTTCCCACTATGGAAAATTTTTACACGATTGCAGATTAAAAAAAAGAAGAAAGATCTACCTACACAGCAGAATTCAGTTAAAGCCCTGGAATCAAGATAAAGTATACAATTTTTTTCTTCTACTCATACTAGTTGATATAAGTATCGTTACTTCTTATATAAAGTTCTGAAGCCTGCAGAAGGTGAAAAACAACACTTAAAACAGCAAAACTTATTTGGAGAATCACTTAAAGCTTTTATAAAGTATTATATATGTTTTAATAGACTGAAGATTATGTAATAATTATTGCTCACATGTACCACTAAGTTATACTAAAGGAAGTCGCAAAGTATAAAGCATATGCAGAATGGGAGAAGATATGTTCAAGTGACTTATCTGATAATGGGTTAGTATCCAAAATCTATAAAGAACTCATCAAACTCGGGGTGCCTGGGTGGCTCAATGGGTTAAAGCCTCTGCCTTCGGCTCAGGTCATGGTCCCAGGGTCCTGGGATCGAGCCCTGCATCAGGCTCTATGCTCGGCAGGGAGCCTGCTTCCCTTCCTCTCTCTCTGCCTGCCTCTCTGCCTACTTGTGATCTCTGTCTGTCAAATAAATAAATAAAATCTTATATAAAAAAAAAAAGAACTCATCAAACTCAATACCTAAAAAACAAATAATCCAATCAAGAAATAGGCAGAAGACATGAACAGACATTTTTTTCAAAGAAGACATCCAGATGGCCAATAGACACATGAAAAGATGTTCCACATAACTCATCATCAGGGAAATACAAATCAAAACCACAATGGGATACCACCTTACACTGGTCAGAATGGCTAAAATTAACAATACAGAAAACAACAGATATTGGCCAGGATGTGGAAAAGGGGAAACCTTTTATACTGTTGGTGGGAATACAAAGTGGTGCAGCCATTCCGAACAGTACGAGGTTCCTCAAAAAGTTAAAAATAGGGACACCCAGGTGTCTCAGTCTGTTAAGCGGCTGCCTTCGGCTTGGGTCATGATCCCAGGGTCCTGGGATCAAGCCCCACATTGGGCTCCCTGCTCAGCAGACAGCCTGCTTCTCCCTCTCCCTCTGCCTGTTGCTCTGTCTACTTGTGCTCTCTCTCTCTCCCTCTTTGTCAAATAAATAAATAAAATCTTAAAAAAAAAAAAAAGTTAAAAATAAGACTACCCTATGACCCAGCAAATGAATTATTAGGTATTTACCCAAAGGATACAAAAATAAAAATTCTAAGGGGTACATGTACCCTAATGTTTATAGTAGCATTATCAACAATAGCCAAATTATGGAACATCCCAAATGTCCATTAACTGATTAATGGATAAAGAAGATGTGGTGAATACATATGTATGTGTGTGTGTGTTTGTATACATATTACCAGAATATTACTCAGCCATTAGAAAGAATGAAATCTTGCCATTTGTAATGATGAGGATGGAGCCAGAGTGTATTATGCTAAGCAAATTAAGTTAGTCAGAGAAAGACAAATACCATATAATTTCATTCATATGTGGAATTAAAAAACAAAACAGATGAACAAAGGGGAAGGAAAAAAGAGGGAAGCACTGATAAGTGCTCTTAACAACAGAGAACAAACTGAGGGTTGATGGAGGGAGGTGGATGGGGGATGGGCTAAATGGGTGATGGGTATTAAGGAGGGCACTTGTTATGATGATCATTGGGTGTTACATGTAAGTGAGGAATCACTAAATTCTAACCTGAAATCAATATTACACTATATGTTGACTAGAATTTAAATAAAATTTTGAAAAGAAAAACAAAGTATCATTAAAAAGATTATCCACCATGACCAGGTGGGATTCATTCCTGGGCTAACAAGGATGGTTCAACATTCGCAAATCAATCAATGTGATAGAACAAATTAATATGAGAAGAGAGAAGAACCACATGGTCCTCTCAATTGATGCAGAAAAAGCATTTGACAAAATCCAGCATCCTTTCCTGATTAAAATGCTTCAAAGTATAGGGATAGAGGGAACATTCCTGAACTTCATAAAATCTATCTATGAAAGACCCACAGCAAATATCATCCTCAATGGGAAAAAGCTTGCAGCCTTCCCGTTGAGATCAGGAACACGACAAAGATGCCCATTCTCACCACTCTTGTTCAACATAGTATTAGAAGTCCTAGCAACAGCAATCAGACAACAAAGAGAAATAAAAGGCATCCAAATTGGCAATGAAGAAGTCAAACCCTCTCTCTTTGCAGATGACATGATTCTTTATATGGAAAACCCAAAAGACTCCACCCCCAAACTACTAGAACTCATACAGCAATTCAGTAATGTGGCACGATACAAAGTCAATGTACAGAAATCAGTGGCTTTCTTATACACTAACAATGAAAATACAGAAAGGGAAATTAGAGAATCGATTCCATTTACTATAGCACCAAGAACCATAAGATACCTGGGAATAAACCTAACCAAAGAGGTAAAGGATCTGTACTCGAGGAACTACAGAACACTCATGAAAGAAATTGAAGACACAAAAAGATGGAAGTAATTCCATGCTCTTTATTCAGAAGAATAAACATTGTTTAAATGTCTATCTATACTGCCTAGAGCAATCTATACTTTTAATGTCATTCCGATCAAAATTCCACCGGTATTTTTCAAAGAGCTGGAGCAAATAATCCTAAAATTTGTATGGAACCAGAAGAGACCCCCAATCACTAGAGGAAATGTTGAAAAACAAAAATAAAACTGGGGGCATCATGTTACCTGATTTCAAGCTTTACTACAAAGCTGTGATCACCAAGACAGCATGGTACTGGCATAAAAACAGACACATAGATCAGCGGAACAGAGTAGAGAGCCCAGATATGGACCCTCAACTCTACGGTCAAATAATCTTCGACAAAGCAGGAAAAAATATACAGTGGAAAAAAGACAGTGTCTTCAATAAATGGTGCTGGGAAAACTGGACAGCTATATGTAGAAGAATGAAACTCGACCATTCTCTTACACCGTACACAAAGATAAACTCAAAATGGATAAAAGACCTCAACGTGAGACAGGAATCCATCAGAATCCTAGAGGAGAACATAGGCAGTAACCTCTTCGATATCAGCCACAGCAACTTCTTTCAAGATATGTCTCCAAAGGCAAAGGAAACAAAAGCAAAAATGAACTTTTGGGACTTCATCAAGATCAAAAGCTTCTGCACAGCAAAGGAAACAGTCAACAAAACAAAGAGGCAACCCACGGAATGGGAGAAGATATTTGCAAATGACAGTACAGACAAAAGGTTGATATCCAGGATCTATAAAGAACTCCTCAAACTCAACACACACAAAACAGATAATCATGTCAAAAAATGGGCAGAAGATATGAACAGACACTTCTCCAATGAAGACATACAAATGGCTATCAGACACATGAAAAGATGTTCATCATCACTAGCCATCAGGGAGATTCAAATTAAAACCACATTGAGATACCACCTTACACCACTTAGAATGGCCAAAATTAGCAAGACAGGAAACAACATGTGTTGGAGAGGATGTGGAGAAAGGGGAACCCTCCTACACTGTGGGTGGGAATGCAAGATGGTGCAGCCACTTTGGAGAACAGTGTGGAGATTCCTCAAGAAATTAAAAATAGAGCTTCCCTATGACCCTGCAATTGCACTACTGGGTATTTACCCCAAAGATACAGATGTAGTGAAAAGAAGGGCCATCTGTACCCCAATGTTTATAGCAGCAATGGCCACGGTCACCAAACTGTGGAAAGAACCAAGATGCCCTTCAACGGACGAATGGATAAGGAAGATGTGGTCCATATACACTATGGAGTATTATGCCTCCATCAGAAAGAATGAATACCCAACTTTTGTAGCAACATGGACGGGACTGGAAGAGATTATTCTGAGTGAAGTAAGTCAAGCAGAGAGAGTCAATTATCATATGGTTTCACTTATTTGTGGAGCATAACAAATAACATGGAGGACAAGGGGAATTAGGAGAAGGGAGTTGAGGGAAATTGGAAGGGGAGGTGAACCATGAGAGACTATAGACTCTGAAAAACAACCTGAGGGTTTTGAAGGGGCGGGGGGTGGGGGGTTGGGGGAACCAGGTGGTGGGTATTAGAGAGGGCACGGATTGCATGGAGCACTGGGTGTGGTGCAAAAACAAGGAATACTGTTATGCTGAAAAGAAAAAAAAAAGAAAGAAAAAAAAGAAAAAGTATCTGACTGCTTGAAATCTCAAAAAAAAAAGCATATGCAGATATCTAAGCATTCAAATCACTCTATAGTTAATGAGAGAATGGATAAAGAATGTGTTTTCTTGTTAGACTGAAGTTACTTTATTCTGTTTTTTTTTTTTTTAAAGATTTTATTTATTTATTTGACAGACAGAGATCACAAGTAGACAGAGAGGCAGGCAGAGAGAGAGAGAGAGAGGGAAGCAGGCTCCCTGCTGAGCAGAGAGCCCGATGTGGGACTCGATCCCAGGACCCTGAGATCATGACCTGAGCCGAAGGCAGCGGCTTAACCCACTGAGCCACCCAGGCGCCCACTTTATTCTGTTTGATGTTAATCTTTTATAACCTTAGTAAGCCTTAAGTGTTTAATGTGAAAGTTAAATGATATGATAAAAAATGTTGGATTAGATTTTCAGGTCATTAAGTAAGTTAAGTATGTGTGAATTATTCACCTCCACTGTAGGCTTGTCAAGATAAAAGCAGGAGAGTAGTGCTCTAGGCTTTTGTACTATCTTTAAGAGTTATTAGTTATAAGATTAGAGGTGATCAATTTTTATCTATTTCCTGATGTCAAAGACTCAAATAAGCCTTGTAAAACCTTAACACCAAGTATGGTAGGGTGAATATTCTACCCTCAAATCCACATCCATAGGAACCTTAGAATGTGACCTTATTTGGAAATAGGGTTATTAAGTTATATAATTAAGATGAGGTCATACATGTTAGGGTAGGCCCTAAATTCAATGACTGGTATCTTTAATAAGGAGAGAAAAATTTGCACTAAGACACACTGAGGGAAGATGGCCATGTGAAGACAGGCAGAAATTGGGTGATGCAGCCACAAGCTGAGGAATGCCAAGGATTGTCAACAGTCAATCACCAGAAGCTAGGAGAAGATAAGGAAGAAGTATTCTTCCCTAAAGGCTTCAGAAGGAATGGAGCCCTAGTGACACTTCAATTTTGGATTCAAGTCACTAGGACTGCGAGAGAATAAATTTCTCTTGTTTTAAGCTGAACAGTTTATGGTAATTTGTTACAGTAGCCTAACACATCAAGGCTCAACAAGGACAATATGAGAAAAAACAAAACAAAACAAAACAGACTATAGGCTAATATCTCTTATACACAAAAGTTCTAAATAAAATAGTAACTCTATTCCTCTCGAAAATAAACTGAATCCAGTAAAAAATAAAAAAATACACATCATGACTGCTAAACTAAGTTTATCTAAGAATATAAGAATGATTTAAATAATACAAAATGTATTCATTTAACTTATCATATTAACAATTTTAAGGAGAAAAGATTGGGGTGCCTTGGGTGGCTAGTTGGTTAAGTGTCTGACTCTTGTTTTCAGCTCAGGTCATAATCTTAGGGTTGTGAGACAGAGCCCATGTCTGGCTCTGGGCTGGGCATGAAGTCTGCTTAGCATTCTCTCTCTCTCCCTGTCCCTCTGCCCTGCCCCACCCTGCTCACACTCTCTCTTTCCTCTCTCTAAAAAAATAAATAAATAAATAAAAATAAAGGAGAAAAGATTTATGATCATCTCAAGGGATATAGAGTATTAAATGTCTGACAAAATCCAGTACACATTAATAAAAATTCTTAAGAGAATAATAGGCAGGAACATCTTTAAATTGCTAAAGGGTATAACCAATATCCCACAACAAACTTAATATTTAATGGGGAAAGATATCCACAGGAACAATATAAGGATGTCTACCAGAGACATTATCTACATAACTTTATAATTTAAAAAAGATAAACATGTATAAATATGTGTACATATAAACATATATGTTATGTGTGTGTATATATATATAAATATAAGGATATATGTATATAAATATAAATGTATGTATATATGTATAAATCATTTAAAGTAATAACTGGATAGGAAGTTTTCATTACTCATGAATGACATAACTGTCTAAACATAAAATCCAGAGTGAATCTATAAAATTAGAATCGATATGAGTTTGACACATTTGCTAGATTCAAGATAAAGGTTCCAAAATTAATTAGGTTATTTTATAATAGCAACAAATAACTTGAATTTTTATAATTAAAAAACATATCACTACTTTCTGGGACGTGGAATGGTTTCATGAAGGTGGAATGGTTACATGGATATATTCATCAAAATTGTATGGCTAGGATTTATGTGTTTCTATGAATGTAAATTCTATCTAAAAAAGAGAACTATATCTATAACAACTGAGGTGGGGAGTGGGTATAAGCACAGATCATTTTTCTTTCAGTGGATAAGATAATGACACCAAGGGGGGAAAAATCTGTTCCTAGGCAGTAAAAACTTTTTACATATAAAGCACAAATACACAAATACACAGAGAGTTTATAAATGGATAAAAGTATGTCTATGATATTAAAACAAACTGAATCAATTATATCTTCCAGAATTACAAATGACTTTTTACTTTATTTATCCCAAGTCCAGAATTTAAGGCTGAAACTAAAACACTGCAGTAGTTACTGTATCTGAAAGTAACTACTGTTAAAGCATATGATATGGATACTTACTAAAAATAAATCTTCCAGTATTAAAAAGAAAATTAGACATAAGCACCCAATAAACTATCATTGCTCCAATGAGAGATACCAAGGAGAAAAGGAGACTTGACCACTGTCCAAAGGAGCCAAAATAGTATCTGCAGACATCTGGATATTCCCAGGTACTGGTATCCACTGATGCTAGATAAAACAAGAGAAAGAATAAAATCAGACGTTACTAATATATCCATTAATCATAATCTGTGTTCCCCCAATTAACTCAAAATATTTAGCAAAATATTAAGAATATTCCATCACCAGATATTAGAACACAGAATGATATAACAGAAATTAAAACATTACAGAACAAACACATAAAAAGATACATAGGTCAACAAAACAGTACAGTTAATATAAGAAACAGATTATAGTATCACAATATTTTGTAATTAATAAAAACAAATGAAAAATCAAGGATAAGCAAAATCATGAGTAAGAGTCAAGATATTATTCAATAATATTTGGCATACTTAAATGACATATGGGGGAAAGTTTTCCTGAGTCCTAATTAATTCAAAAATTAAGTAAGTTAGAAGACAATATAAAAATAGACCTTGAAGGGTTATCCTTTTCTATCAAATGAAGAAATAGAAATACAATGGAAAAGATCAGTAGATATAAACAAACTCATATAATACAAAAGCCATTCAAATGTTGAATGGAAAAGAAAATTGACAAGAAATAATGGATAAAGGGCTAATGCCTACATCATACAAAAAACTTAGCAGATCTATAAGAGCATCAAGGTAATTGAGGATAAATGGGAAAGGGATAAGAATAAATAATAAAATAAAGACAAAATATACCCCCCCCAAAAAAGACAAAATATACATTGTTTAATAGAGCCCTCCCCCTCAAAGACAAAGCCTGGTTTCTTGATTCAAAATTGCTAAATTCACTGAAATAATGTAGGTATATTTAGGTCCTTCCTAAACTACTTTAAAACAATCTAAAAAGGTAATTCCCTGATCCAGAATTTACAGAGATGAGTAGAGGCAATGTATTACTAAGCTTTGTGAATTCACTAAAATGGACACATTCATATTTTCATATTTTTCTAGTTACATTTTCTACTTTAAAGAGATTCCAACATTTAGATCTCTTGGTGGGGGATAGATCAAAAGTCACCATTAACTGCTAAGAATCACAGAATTTTGCTTTCTTTTCTTTCTTTCTTTTTTTTTTTTTAAGATTTATTCATTTGAGAGAGAGCGCATGCAGGAGGGAAGGTTAGAGGGAGAGAGACCATCCTCAAGCTGACTCCCTGCTGAACGAGGAGCCTGTTGTAGGGCTGGATCCCAGGACGATGAGACCATGACCTGGGCCGAAATCAAGAGTCAGACACTTAACTGACAGAGCTACCCAGGCAAGCCAGAATCACAGAATTTTCAACTTAGTTCTGAAAAAGACTATTTTTAAAATAAGACCTTATTATATATTTTTTAATCAGGAAATTAGCATCAAAGTAAAGAAACTACAAACCTCTCTGAATTTCAAAGGCAGTCACTAATTCATTGACATATCAGTTCAGCTGAATGATATGAGTTAGAGAAGTAAATCTTTAGACACAAAATAGTTAACACACATGTGGAATGTACACATTAGTGATCTCCTTCACCAGGAAATACTTATGAATACCCAAATGGTTACTCTATTTTCACCATGGCAAATTCTTACATATCATAGATCGTGATTTCACTACTCTGTAGCAGCAATAAAGTGTTAAAATGCCCATCAGCATGATGACACACATTCCAGTAGTAAAGCCAGCCTGTTTAAAAACACAAATATAGAACAACATATATCATCATGTTAGAATAAATTCATATGCAACCACATTATGTTACCCTACCCTAAACAATTATGATAAAAACCTGACAATGTAAAGTTAAATATAATTACCTATTTTCTTCAATAACTGTCTAGATTTATTAAAACCTTGATTGTAAATCTTACAAAATAAAGAGAAAAAAATTCAGGCAAAAAGTATGCTGAAAAATTTTATTACCTGTTTTATGCCCCAAGGAATACTTAATATAGATGTTCCCATCATGGTATTCCAAATCATAAATCTGAAAACACAGAATAATAGTAGTGAAAATATGGAGTTTGACTCTTTAAACATTTTAATTAAGACAAGAATGAAAATAACCAGGAATTTTCATTTATATAAAGTTTAAGTTATGATCCAAAAAGAAGTTTTACTCACATGGTTACTAAACTGGTGTTTTTGCCATATCCTTCAGTGTAACTTTGAAGTTTATAAGCAGAACCCAATGGACTATATACATAGCATTCTTCTGGAGCTGGAACTACATGATCTGGGGCAATCTAGTAAAAGAAGAAATGTTATAAGAGAAATGTTATAACCAGAAAATGTGCAGGATAGGATATTTTCTAAACATCAGAGGACCTGATTCTAGACACAATTCTTAATATCATGAACAAACAAATAGCATGTATCCCTGATTAATGAATATAAAAAACCCTTTCCAAATCTAGTAGATCTAAAGGACTAAGAGTTTGGAGAATAAGAGCAATAAAATGTTCATGTGAAATGACAATGAATTCTTAAAATACGCAACTATAAAAATATTTTTCCCTTCATTTTCATGAGAAAGAAGGAAGAGTCAGCAAAGAGTGAGATTAAGGAATTCTAGATGGAGGAGATCTGGGGCTTAAGTGAGAGGAATTTCAAAAATCAAGTGGCGATTGAACTCTTCCAGGAATAGGTTTTAGCAAAGAGGTAGGGAACTCAAACTATAAAGAAATGACACATCAATACAAGATAAAGAAAGGAAATATATATGAAAAGCATTTAAAAAGCAGAAGTAAAAAGTGAGCTAACATAGCCTAAGGAAAGGCAAAGCAAGGATTCTTCAAGATGGAATATGCAAACAAAACACAAGGAGCTAATAGAGAGGCTGAAGACACATGGAATGACTGAATAGATACATTTTCTTATACACATAGTTCTCACCTTACCTCCCATACATATCTTCTGAATTCTATCTCCTTAGAGAGGAAAAAAAATTAGTCTCCTGGTGGAATTCTGCCCATCTCCCTGAGAACAGTCCTTTGAGAACATGAAGTCCCATATAATAGTTAAAAATACAGGAGCTGACAGGTAAAAAATCAATGATCTTTTCTCTCTTTTAAAGATTTTAATTAATGAATGAATTTATAGCACATGCAAGTTGGGGGAGAGGCAGAGGGAGGAGGAGAGTGAGACTCTCAAGCAGACTCTAGGCTGAGGACACAGCCCCACTCAGGGCTCCATCTCATGACCCTGAGTTCACGACCTGAGCCAAAAGCAAGAGTTAGATGTTTCACTGACTCAGCCACCCAGGTGCCCCTCTCCCCTTTATTCTAAGTAGGCTCCACACCCAGCGTGGAGCCCAATGCAGAGCTTGAACTCATGACCCTGAGATTAAGACCTGAGCTGAGATAGAGTCAGAGGCTTAACAGACTGAATCACTCAGGCATCCCTCAACAATCTTTTACATTTAGCATCCACTATATAAATCTACAACTCTGTGCTAGGTTTAGTGTTCAAGAAAAAAAAATACAGTCCACAACTTTGAGAAGCTTACATTCCAGTTGGAAGACTGGAAGCAATTAGATAAGGGTAGAAGAGAGAAAAAAGTAAGGGTGGGATACTGTATTGCAGGAATGACAAAAGATTAACAGGGACTAGAATAGTTAGGAAAGACGTCAAGGAAGTGATAGAACATTGGAACTTAGTAGGTAGAAAGGATATGGACTGGTACAAAAGGAAAAAATGCTGAGACTTTACGTATATAATTGCTGGTATCTTGCGGGTAAAACATGTCTTGAATGTTACGCCTCCTGTGGCTTTGGAAACAATTATTTCTGAGAGATAAAAAGGCATATATGTAAATGGGTCTGTTGTTTTCTCTTTTACCCTTAATCATCCTGGGTCTGAGTTGTATTACCTTCTTCAAGGGTGTAAAAAGAAAAAAGGGGAAGGATCATATCTGCATCAGGCAGGAGATAAACTATGATGGCTTGCAAAGTTCAGAAAAAGTGAAAATTTAAAGTTACAGGAGGCAGGATTAGAAGCTAAAGGTTAAGAAGTTATAAATTTTTGAGAGTTACAGACAAAATGGAGAATTGGATTCCATACTCCAGCAGTAATGTAGGGCAATGCTTTCCTTCCTTCCTTCCTTTTCTTTCTTCCTCCCTTCCTTTCCTTCCTCCTTTCCTTTCTTTCTTCCCTTCTTCCTTCCCTCCTTCCTTTCTTGTTCCTTTCTCCCTCTCTCTCTTCCTTCTTTCTCTTTTTCTCCCTCCCTTCCTTCCTCTCTTCATTTCCTTCTTCTTTCATTTCTTTTTTTTTTTTTTAAGATTTTATTTATTTATTTGACAGAGAGAGATGACAAGTAGACGGAGAGGCAGGCAGAGAGAGAGAGAGAGAGGGAAGCAGGCTCCCTGCTGAGCAGAGAGCCCAATGCGGGACTTGATCCCAGGACCCTGAGATTATGACCTGAGCCGAAGGCAGCAGCTTAACCCACTGAGCCACCTAGGCGCCCTTCTTTCCTTTCTTTCTTCCCTTCCTCCTTCCTTCCTTTTCTTCCCTTCTTTCTTCCTTTTTCTTTAAGATTTCATTGATTTATCTATTTGTCAGAGAGAGAGAGGGAGAGAGAGCACAAGCAGAAGGAGCAGAAAACAGAGGGAGAAGCAGGCTCCCTGCTGAGCAAGGAGCCTGATGTGGGACTCAACCTCAGGACCCTGGGATCATGACCTGAGCTGAAGGCAGCCCAGGTGTCCTCCTTCCTTTCTTCCTTCCTTTCTCCCTCTCTCTTGCTCCCTTCTTTCTCTCTCCCTCCCTCACTTCCTCCCTCCCTCCCTTCCTTCCTTTCTTTCTCTCTTAAGATTTTATCTATTTACTTGACATAGAGAAAGCAAGAGAGAGCGAGCACAAACTGGGGGGCAGGGGGCATCCAGAGGGAAAGGGAGAAGCTAAGCACAGAGCCCGATGTGTGGGTTCTACCCCAGGACCCCAGAATCATGACCTGAGCTGAAGGCAGACGATCAACCAACTGAGCCACCCAGCACCCAGGCATAGGGCAGTGCTTTTCAAACTTAAATTTTCCTGTGACAGACACAGGGATGTTGTTAAATACAGATTATGATCCATTAGGTCTGGAGTAAGGACTGAGATTCTGCATTTTTAATAAGTTCTCAGTGATGCCAGTACTGCTGGCTTGTGCAGGACACACTTTCATTAATCAGGATCTAGGAGATGTTAGCAGTCAAATAATTTTCTTCTCTTCCCCATTCTAGAATTAAAATAGTAAGATAAATAAGGAAAGTTTCAGAAATAAAAAGGCACAACTCCGTAGAATCCTGAGACATGTGGTTTCACACTGTTCTTCCCTTAAACATCTCTTAATAAAGTGATTTTGGAATTCTCAGGAAATGAGCCTGTATGTATACATACATTCATTAAAAATGGTCATGTCTTACTGTTAATTCTAGATCACTATTTATTACTGTTTATACACTTTGATTTACTACAGTCATCTCAGTGTCAGTTAACAAAAGGTATTCAACTTGGTGTACACTGTTGACTTAATTTCCAGCCAAACAATGTCCATTCAGGACTAGACTGGCCCAGCCAGTATCTTTGAAGCCTGCTTCCACAAGAAGAGCTTCTAGGTCTGAATTAGACCCAGAGACATTGGATTACTTCTACTCCACAGAAGGCTTAAATAATCCCGTTGGAAATAAGTCTTTATGACAAGTACTGATGTAAAGGTCTAGGGGAGGAAAAATGAAAAAATTGGGGGAAAAAAATGACCAGAATATTTTGGAAATCACTACTTCAGCTATGCAAAAGGAGATGTTAATACCTCACATGGCTTTACTTGAGATATCTCAAGCCTTGTCCCTCAGTGAACACCTAAAGAATACTGGTTTCGTTCTCTTTTTTTTTATTATCATCTATAAAAATATCACTTTTCCTCCCAGAATGTTTCCATTTTTTTAAGCTTTTAAGTTTCTGCATATCTCATATGTGGTGATTCTTATATGCAACCAGATTGCTTCACATATATATATTTAAAGATTTTATGTATTTATTTGATAGAGAGAGACAGTGAGAGCAGGAACACAGCAGGGGGAGTGGGAAAGGGAGAAGCAGGCTTCCCGCCAAGCAGAGAGCCCGATGTAGGGCTCGATACCAGAAGCCCGGGATCATGACCTGAGCCGAAAGCAGGTGCCCAATGATTGAGCTGCACAGGTGCCCTCCAATATATATTTTTGATCCTAAAGTAATAACACAGATTTTAGAAGACCAAAAATCAGCAACTATCGCCCATGGTTAAACCCAGCCCTCAACCTATTATTTCACATCCTCTTTGCAAAGAATGGTTTATATATTTGTAATGATCATAACAGATAAGTGGAGGTGCCCCTCACTTGTGCTTGCTCTCTCTCTCTAGTGCTCTCTCTCTCAAATAAACAAATGAAATCTTAAACAAAAACAAAACAAAACCAAAAGTGAAGAAGAATATGCAATAATATATGGCCCACAAAGCCTAAAACGTTTAGAATCTGCTCTTTGACCCTTATTTTTTATCTATACAAGGACATTGCTAAATAGTAAAATAATATATTTGTTTATATGTATTTCAGTTTCCCACTCTAGTAGAAAAATTCTAAAAATTTTTTTCCCTTGTAGCTTCAAACTTAATAACTGAATGGACTAACTGGATCTATTATTATTTATGTTATTTATCAATGATCTAAAGTACTTTAGAAGTAGTTTATTCTCCTCAGAGCTCTTAGGATTGGAGACTAGCAGAATTTAATCTAACAAATCTCGGGCTATTGTCAACACAGAGAGATTATTTCAAATCTCTTCGTCATGCTAGGTAAGAATAAACTAGTCTGGGATGTTAAGATGTGTACTAATTACTATCTTGATTTTCCATGATGCCATCCTTGGAATATGGCCAGCAAAAAAAGATCAATCACTAGGAGTTTCCCTGGCTTATGCTGTTCACTGTTTATTTCAACTTAACTTTAGACAATTAGCAATGCTTGCCCCTTACCAGTGCCTTGTCTGCAGGAGCGGTGAGCCGGCTGTAGTAATGAATCCTCTTGTTCATGGCAGAGGCATGGTCGCTAACCCTCTGAATGACATCATTCACATTGACGATGTTTGTGGGCTCTATATAGAAAGGCCTAGAGAAGGGAATATACACTTGACAAAGAACATTCAGCCAGAAATTCTGGAAGTCAGCCATTGAGGAAAATAACTTCTTGTCCTCCATTAGAAATGGGATGTACCAAGGCAAGGCATTCAGTTCTCACTTTGGGTGGGAAAAGAAAATGTCACAAAGGAAGTATTATCCAATCCAAAGACTAATGCTTTTGTCTCATAATACTATTATAAATACACTTTTTTAATTTTTAGGAATTTAGCAATAGAGGAGACATAACAGAGCTTCAGTCAGATATGAAAAAGAAGTATATAGCAGCTGTCAGTTTTCAACAATGAAATTTAAACCTACACAGCTTTTAATATTCTCTCAAAAAGTTTCTGGCACTAAATCAAAGAAATTATTGTCATAAATGTTCCTATACTAAAGAGGAACTACTCTCTTCTGTTAAGAAGTTTCTACTCCTTCTTTATGGGCCAAAGTTATTTCCTATGACAAATAAAATATCTATTGCTTGGTTCATGTACTAAAGATTAGTGATTTCAACCACCTCCCTTGTGAAACTTGTCACAAGTATTATCAAGTGGAACATGAAGACACTACAGATATTTTGCCTCATTTTACTTTATTTGGACTTCAGTAACAAATCCTATTACGCTATTATTTATGTATATGCTTCTTTCCCATAACTATGTCCCAATCAACAGCAGATTCTAATTTTCAATTATTTCTAGTCATTAACGCTGCCAGTTCCTTACCAAAACTCCCTCCATTTGCTTCTAAGCTTCCAGTAATATACTCCAAAACAGAAAGACCAGGCAGAGTAGCATGACTCTCAAATCCTTCTAAGTCACAAATGATACTGTGCCCCAAACTGCATATAATATGCTATTTTCAGATTACACACAGATCCAAATAATGAAGGGGGAAAAGCTCAGATTTCTCTGGTTCCATATAACTCTTCTGCACTTAACAGTTGTGAAAGAAGCTTAAAATTTATGTTAGTCATAAGCTGTAATCATCAAGACAGCATGGTATTGGCACAAAAACAGACACATAGATCAAGGGAACAGACTAGAGAACCCAGAAATGGACTTTCAACTCTATGGTCAACTAATCTTACACAAAGCAGGAAAGAATAACCAATGGAAAAAAGTATCTTCAACAGATGGTGTGGGGAAAATTGGACAGCCACCTGTAGAAGAATGAAACCGGACAACTTCCTTTTTTTTTTTTTTTTTTTTAAGATTTTATTTATTCATTTGACAGGGAGAGAGATCACAAGTAGGCAGAGAGGGAGGCAGAGAGAGAGGGAGAAGCAGGCTTCCCGCTGAGCAGAAAGCCCAACTCAGGGCTCAATCCCAGGACCCTGAGATCATGACCGGAGCTGAAAGCAGAGGCTTAACCCACTGAGCCACCCAGGTGCCCCAAAACTGGACAACTTTCTTATACCATACACACACAAAAACATTCAAAATGGATGGAATACCTAAATGTGAGACAGAAATCCATCAAAATCCTAGAGAACATAGGCAGCAACCTCTTTGACCTTGGCCATGGCAAATTCTTGCTAGACATGTCTCCAAAGGCAAGGGAAACAAAGGCAAAAGTGAACTACCGGGACCTCATCAAGATAAAAAGCTTTTGCAGAGCAAAGCAATAGTCAACCAAACTAAAAGGCAACCTACAGAATGGGAGAAGATATTTGCAAATGTCTTACCAGATAAAGGGCTAATATCCAAAATCTATAAAGAACTTATTAAACTTAACACCCAGAAAACAAAAAAATTCAGTCAAGAAATGGGCAGAAGACATGAACAGACATTTCTCCAAAAGAAGACATACAAATGGCCAAGAGACACACAAAAAAGTGTTCAACATCCCTTGGCCTCAGGGAAATACAAATCAAAATCATAATGAGATAATACCTCACACCAGTCAGAATGGTTAAAATTAACAACTGAAGAAACAACAGATGTTGGTGAGGATGTGGAGAAAGTGAGCCCTCTTACACTGTTGATGGGAATGCAAAGTGGTGCAGCACTCTGGAAGACAGTATGGAGGTTCCTCAAAAAGTTAAAAACAGAACTACACTATGACCCAGGAATTGCACTATTAGGTACTTATCCAAAGGATACAAACACAGAGATTTGAAGGGGCACATGCACCCCAATGCTTAAAGTAGCAATGTCCATAATAGCCAAACTTTGGAAAGAGGCCAGGTATCTATTGAAAGATAAATAGATAAAGAAGATGTGGCATATATATATGTGTGTGTGTGTGTATATATATATATATATATATATATATATATATACATATATATAATGAAATATTACTTAGTCATCAAAAAAATGAAATCTTGCCATTTGCAAGGAAGTGGATGGAACTAGAGGGTATTATGCTAAGCAAAATAAGTCAGTCAGAGAAAGACAAATATGATTTTACTTATATGTTGAATTTAAGAAACAGAAGAGATGAACAGAAAGGAAGGGAAGGAAAAATAAGACAAAAACAGAGACAGAGACAAAGCAGAGAGACTCTTAACTATAGGAAACAAACTGAGGGTTACTGGAGGGGAGGAGGGGAGGGAGATGGGCTAAATGGGTGATGGGCATTAAGGAGGGCACTTGATGGAATTAGCACTGGGTGTTATCTACAACTGATGAATCACTAAATTCTACCTCTGAAACTAATAATATACTATGTATTAATTAAATTGAATTTAAATTAAAAAATGTGTTAGTCATTTCTGGAGATAGTTAATCTAATCTTGTGGAAATACTTGAAAAACAAGTGACTGAAATTTTAGTTTGTTATTTTTCCAACTATTAGATATTAGAGAAATAATAGTATAGATGTTAAATTTAGTCCTGTCTCTCTAGTTAGTATACAGAATCTCTGAATCTTTCTTTTTCTATTTATTCTCCACCACAGCACCTAAATAGGATGGGTACTCTCCAGTTCAACCCAACATATATCTTAAAGTTAAGCACTTACTAGAGCAAATATGTGGATATATAGATCAACATGACAGTCTATCTCTACTAAGCATATCATTACTAAGTGAAGTAAGGGATGTCAATAAATCTGAAGGTGATATAAAGAAAACATGAGGGCTGGAAGCTGGGTAAACTATCCCTACTTATAAATTTGGTAGCCTTAGATAACTACTAACCCTTCCAAAGCATTACAGTATTCTGCATAATTTGTATATCTACTGTGACAGCAGTACTAAAAAGCAGTGTAAAAATATTTACATCCAGGAGACAGTTCAGTCATACCTGGGGTCACAATCTACACAGCATTCATTTCTTTTTTTGCAAGAACAATACCCCACAAAATTCAAGAAAGAATTACAGGTTTAATGCCAACAAAAAAGACATTGCAACTGATCAAAGATTATGAAAGAGAGTAACAAGTAGGATATTAATAGAGAGGTGTAGATGTTCTACTTGTAGCTTTTTACTCTGAAAATCCAAAGGTATTAATATCAACCACTAGGTTGGCTTGAAGGCTTGCAGAAAAGCAGTCCAAGAAGTGCTACATTTTTTTGGCTCCTGGCCTCTAATAGAAGTGTTAACTGTACCAGTTTAGTTGGCTTGGATACCCTGAGAGCAGAATGACTCTGAAAGTTTTTCTTTTCAAACAGTTTTCATCGAGATGCTGAGTGCCTTTTCAAACAAATATTTTGGAATGTTTTCAAAACAGATTCTCCTAAAAAATATCCAACTCAGCATATTTTAACCAAATTATTAGAAACATATGCTTAAGGCTTCATCTGAGAGGAAAAATATAAATTACATTTCTAAATTGAACTTCAGTTGGCTCTGAAAATACTTTTAAAATTAATAGTATACAGAAAACAGTATTAAGAGTAAAACACTTGAAACTTGGGCTTTTTCTTTTGAACATGATTTCACGTGACTGCTCCCTATCAGGGTTACCTCCCAAATGAAATGTGGCTCAAATGTGCCAAAGTAAAAATAAATTATGATATTTCATGTAGAAGTTATATTTGTCCTACCTTATAAATATGTATGGTCATGCTACAGAAGAAAATGCTTTTAACATTTAGTAGAAATTTTAAGATATTTAAAAATGTGACTCAAAATCCCATATTTTCATTTAATACCCTTATAAACAGAGAAACATTATTTCTACCAAACACCTTTTCTAGGTTCCACTCCTTAAATTCCTTAAAAATTTTTGGCTTTTAAATTTGTCTCCACCCTTCTACTGACCAGTTATGTTTCTCTGGAGTTTAACAACAAACCCCATGACTCTTAAGGTTCATACTCAACATGAAGACCTATGACTTAAAGCTGTTCCTTTATTCACATCTCTATGAAAGGTGAAGCACTCCACACCTGCCAGATTGGGGTAGGTTGTTAAAAAATGAAAAGGGAATCAACTATTCAAAACTCTTTTTTCTTTTTTAAAGATTTTATTTATTTATTTGACAGAGAGAGATCACAAGCAGGCAGAGAGAGAGAGGAGGAAGCAGGCTCCCTGCTGAGCAGAGAGCCCGATGCGGGGCTCGATCCCAGGACCCTGAGATCATGACCTGAGCCGAAGGCAGCGGCTTAACCCACTGAGACAGCCAGGCACCCCCAACTATTCAAAAATCTTAAGCAAAACAGACATTCAAAATAATGAATCCACTGTACGTGTTTCTTCCTGCTTGGTAAAACGCTATGTCTGACAAGAAGCATTTCAATAAAGACAGAAAAGAAGTTAATCAAGCCATTGCACCTAGAAATTCCTTGCTGCTACAATAAAAAAAAAATGGTGACCTGAAGCTTGCTAATAGGTTTCTCACTTCCTCTGATGTTTATACAACATCCTTTTTCACAAAAATCCTGTTCCACACTCCAATTTCACTCACTATTATCAAAGGTTGAGCCCACAAATTTTCTCTATGATGGTTAATTATTTTGTACTGGTTCTCAAATTTATTAAATATTATCTAAGTGCCAAGCAAGTATTAAGCATAGTTCTAAACATTTAACAATGAATAAG